AGTCCGATCTCGGCTAGGGAAGGCAGCGCGGGGCGGCGGGGACAGGGGGGAGGGGTCTCCCCACCCACCCTGTCCCCCTCGCTGGCAGCCACCCCCGCCGCTTTCTCCAGCCTGGATCGGGCTCCTGGGAGTCCGATCTCGGCTAGGAAAGGCAGTGCGGGGCGGCAGGGACAGGGTGGAGGATTCTCCCCACCCACCCTGTCCCCTTCGCTGGCAGCCACCCCCGCCGCTTTCCCCAGCCTGGATCGGGCTCCTAGGAGTCCGATCTCGGCTAGGGAAGGCAGTGCGGGGCGGCGGGGGCAGGGGGGAGGGGGCCCCCCTCTGGAAGCCTTCGGGATTCCCCACCCACCCTGTCCCTGCCAATTTGTAGTCTATTGGAACGCATTAATCCACTTTTAATGCGTTTCAATTGGCTTTTTTATGTCGCTTTACGATGTTTCCGTATAGCGACGTTAATCCTGGAACAGATTAACATCGCTATACGGGGCACCACTGTACCAAGAAATGTGCTGGGACTTTTCAGTACCACTTAATAGGATTCTACAAGATAATTGTTCATACAAGGAAAGGAAGATGGAAAGAACCTTATTTTCAAACATCTCAGAATATGGCTAATGCTTTAAAAACTTCCTTCTGAATGAGAGAAGCAAGATTCCTAGTATTCAGGGTACAAGACAACTATAATTAATGAGTATAGCCTGTATAACATATTACTGTGTATTACTCATAAACATTTCTTATTGCTGGGGACAGAAGTTTGTTTAGCTTTTAATCAAGTAATGTTTTGCTTCCTAATGTTAAGAAAGGTGCTTCCCTTTATTCATCTGAGTCATATAATTAGCTTTTAGTGTCAATTAAGAGACCAAAAAAAGAGCAGCTTACCATAGCGCGAATGTTTGTATTTACAAACGTCCTTAATAAGCGCATCCAGATTGGCAACTATCTGATCATTAGGCATATCCATCTGAAAGAAGTTAATGCAAAATTAATGAAGCACAAAACATTAAATGCTGCCGGATTAATAAAAACTGAAGCGGCTGGGGTAAATATTTAATCAGCGTTCTGGGCTTTTGTTCGATAAAAGTAAAAACATTTTCCTGTCTATTAACGATACAATGTACTAAAAATGCCATTAACATCATTAGCTAAAAGATACCCCACTGTGAAAAACGCAGGAGGCATTTTTTTTCTTCTCCCTTGTACTCAAACCTGACCACTGTAAATTTATATATGTCTATGGCCCCTTTGTGAGCTCCTGGTGGGCCAGCTGTTGTAGGAGAGAAATTTGAGTGAACATTCTCCAACACAATGCAGTTTGTAGGATTTAGCATGCTAAGAAACCAAGCTCAATGTAATCATGTTCTCCTTGTGGAGTAGGGGCCTGGCAAGAGAGGAAAGTGAGAGACACATGGAAAGCAAAGCAAAAGCAAAGCGTGCTGCTTATATACCGCCCCATAGTGCTTCAAGCACTCTCTGGGCGGTTTACAAGTTAATTATGCAGGCTACACATTGCCCGCCCCCACCCCCAGCAAGCTGGGTACTCATTTTACCAACCTCAGAAGGATAGAAGGCTGAGTCAACCTTGAGCCGGCTACCTGGGATTGAACCCCAGGTCGTGAGCACAGTTTGGGCTGCAGTACAGCGGTTTAACCACTGCACCACGAGGCTCTATATGAGATGAGGTCTCAACAACATTTTTGTTATTTGTAATGTATAATTTGGCTCAAAGTCTCTGTAAAGCTAGTGATGTATTTATTAACGGATAAGCCATTGGCTGGGAACTTCTCAGGTAAAAATAAGTTTATGAAAACTATAACATCTTGGTCAGTCAAAGGCTAAAGAATGCCCTATCTGAAATTGAAGTGAAAGTGTTTAGGAAGGGAACAATACTGCTATTGACCAGTCTTCCTCAAATTGGTACCTTCCTCTGGCATGGGACTGCAACCCCCAGAATCCTCCAGCCAGTTATATCTTGGTAACTGAATTCTAGGAGTTCCTGTCCCATACATCTAGAGATCTCCAGCTTGAACAAGATTAGCTTCAGAGGTTGAAGGCCAACTAAGAATTTGGTTTCACCTTTAAGACAAAGATGTTTTATTTGGAATGAACTTTCATGGAGTGCACGGGCTAAAGTTCACAAAAACTTATGAAAAATATAACTAGTTAGCTTTTAAGATGTCACAAGACTCTTGCTTATGTGGCTACCCTGCTGAAAAATTACAAGACACTCAGTTTCTGTTTGAATATAATGAATGCTGAAGATTTGGTGCATGTTGTGGAACTGAACAAGTAAATAGACGTGACTTGGAACTAGAGAAATTACTGTAGAGGTGGAAGAAGAACTGAATGTCAGGACGAAGATCCTTCTTCTAGTCAAGTTTCCTAACAAATCTTTCTTTAAAGAGTCTTTGCCTTAGTGCACCAGATGAAGATGTTTTGGACCACCAGGAGACAATGCCCAGAAAGATATGAAATATCTCCACCTACTTTTCTAGCTCCCTTGAAAAAGAGTCTTTGCCTTAGTGCACCATATGAAGATGTGTTGGACCACCGGGAGACAATGCCCAGCAAGATATTTATTTATTTATTTTTGGACCACCAGGAGACAATGCCCAGAAAGATATCGAATATCTCCACCTACTTTTCTAGCTCCCTTATGTGAATGTTGACAATAACGTCTAGGAAATTCTCAACACATCCCAATATATTTCAAAATATATTTTACACATTCTACATCCTAAATTAATCAAATTTAGAAATAAAACCATTTTAATGCTACAGCAAGTGTACTTAAGACTGGCAATTGGAGTTAATTAAAAAAAGAAGCCTTCCTTTGTTCTTCAAAGAGAACGCCTCTTCTAACACAATAAGAGAATGCCTCTTCTAACACAGCCTGATATACAATATTTGCATTGATAATCAAAATATAATTTTTGCTTCTGAATTCTTAAAAGCTGCGTTCTGAATTCTTAAAATCTTAGATTCTTCTGATATCTTCTAATATCAGAAGAATCTAATATTAAAATGCACAACAGTCATTGATTATATTACAAGAAAACAATCTTTGATGTTAAATGATGTCACTTTACTGCTACTGTATCTTGTACAACTCCCCCACTAGAAGAATAGAGCAATATTCCCTAGGGTAATATCCCATAATTTAGGAAACACCATGCTATTCAGTATACAGTTTATTTACCTATCTTGGAACATTGGGATGCTATGGGCATTCAACTATTATATTTAATTTTCAAACTTCCTTTCGAGATTCATTTTCCAAACTGCTTTATTCTGATGCTTTTATAACTTTAAATTATTTCAAACAAATTAATGAATTTAGTTATTATACAATCAAGCAATAATTACAATAACCTTAAAATATTACAACACAATGTCAATTATTAACATGCAACACCTTGCCAATCTTATGCATTCTGGCATTTTCAAAGATCAAATCTCTTGCGTTAGCAAAGGGTAATGATTTGCCAGACTCTCTCTAGCTGACGGTACTCTTCTGTTCTCCTGAATGTCCCATTTCCAAGTGTTCTTAAAATGCTACCGAGTAAACAGAATCCTAGAACTCTGTAGAGGTTTACATATTTTCAGTAAATGATTAACAGCCCCTCAGAACAAAAATTTCAAGTGGGCTTGTTGCCAGAACCCCTGGTGACGCTTACCGTGGCAATTTGCGTTTCAATAAGGTTATCATTAGCTACCACATATTCATGGCAGAGTCTGAAGACATTAACCATCTTGGGAATGTCGTAACTGACAGAACCTGGCACAAATGGAAGCAAACAAGAAAGTATCACACCAGTGTTGTACAACACATCCCAGCCATCCAGTGTTTCGACTCTAGAACTCAAGAGTTCTGTAGATAATGAGGCCTTGCCCATTTCTCTTTCATTTTGGGAAACACTCCGTGAAGATCCATGTGCCCAATTTGCTCAGCAAAACTCCACAACTCAGCCTCCCTGGAAAAGACCCTGATGTTGGGAAAGTGTGAAGGCAAGAGGAGAAGGGGATGAGAGAGGATGCAATAGTTGGACAGGGTCATCGAAGCAACCAGTATGACTTTGACCCAAATCCGGGAGGCAGTGGAAGATAGGAGGGTCTGACGTGCTCTGGTCCATGGGGTCACAAAGAGTCGGACATGACTTAACGACTAAACAACAACAATGTTCCTGGTCTGTGTAATAAAAACAGGGAACTGGCATTCAGGTTTATAATCGCCAACACATTTTAGATTCTTTATACATAGCCCAAGGGTGGTTCTCTGACCCAACTAAAAGGAAGAGGTGGGCAACTGTTGCCTTCCAGATTTTGCAAGAACAACTCCCACAATCATCCAACACTGGCTATGTTTTCTAAGGCAAATGTAAATTGTAGGTCATGCCTGGAAGACCACAGCTACTGAGTTCTGAATTAAAATTAAAGAGTGTTGCCTTGGTTCCTGAATGTCTTTACAATGAAGTTGGCAGGTTTAGGTCGTGTGGAAAGCCAAGTTTCTTAACCACAACCTGTGCCAAGCCATAGCATTCCTGAAAAGAAAGGCATAATTGGATGAAATAAAATCTTATTTCTCAGCAAAACAAAACTGTGGGTGGGTGTGCATGCATCGTTTTAAAGAACAGTTGCACTTCCCCAAGACTTTTTGGCACATGATACTATTTATTTTTATTTTTTAGTGGATAAAACAACCCGATTTGGAAGGTGTAGAGATTTCTGGGGGCTGCAAAATTAAGGGGAGGCTACATAATTCAGTTTTTACTGATCTTCTAAAGATCTGTAGGAATGGGATCTGTCTAACAAGTTTTTTATTTGTTAGTTTCATATTTTTGTGTACAGTATTTTAGATTCAATTAAAAAAACACCCTTAAGAGTGAAGATGTCTCACTATGGAACAAGATCAAGATCACCCATACATTGATATTCCCACTTACTATGTATGGATGTGAAAAATTGTAAAGGTAAAGTTCCCCTTGACAATTTGTCCAGTCGTGTCTGACACTAGGGGGCGGTGCTCATCTCCGTTTCCAACCCATAGAACTAGTGTTTTTGTCCGAAGACAATCTTCCGTGGTCATGCGGCCAGCGCAACTAGACACGGAACGCTGTTACCTTCCCACCGTGGTAGTATCTATTTATCTACTCGCATTTTGCACACTTTCAAACCGCTAAGTTGGTGGGAGCTGGGACAAAGCGACAGGAGCTCACTCCGTCGCATGGATTCGATCTTACGACTCCAGGTCTTCTGACCTTGCAGCACAGAGGCTTCTGCGGCTTAACCCACAGCACCACCACGTGAAAACTGAACAGTGAAGAAAACTGAGAGGCAAAAACATTAAGTCCATCAGAAATGTGCTGTTGAAGGTTATCATTATGGATACCTTAGACCACCAGAAACACAAATAAATCATCTCAGACTCGCTTTTAAAATGAAAATAGCTAAACTGAGCTATTGGGCATGTACTTTGGGCACATGATGTGGAAACAAGTCTCATTGAACTAGACAGTAATTTTACAAAAAAACAGTAAGAAAAGAAAAAGACCTAATAGGTGATGGACTGACTTGATGAACAAAGTCACAGCCTTGACGTCACAAGATCTGAGCAGATCTGTTAATAACAGAATCTTTTGGAAGTGATTAAATCATAGGGTTGCCATAGATCAGAAGGTAATAAGACATCATATTTCTTTTTACCTGGAACCAAAAACTGTAAATTTGAACTCTCAGTTTAACCTATGTCTACTGCAATGGGACCTATCCTAGTCTTCTGCAGAAAACATGATAAAGAGCCCTATGGTAGCCAACGGACTAAAAAGGAGTCCCACAAAAAACCTGATGCAACAATTTCAGGCAATATTAAAAGAGGTTTGCACATTTTTTTTCTCAAGCAGCATCTTTTCCCACATCATATGCCAAACTTCCTCTGAAACAGAAGGATGTTTATAAGCTACAATTATGGCAATGAGGGTAGGGGTAAGACGACCATTTGAAGAAGGAAGAAATGAAGAACAGTTTCACCTGGCAAAAAAGGCCTCTCTTTGTTTCAGAAAAACTAGACACAAGAGTTCAGTGTCTCAAAAACATCTAATTCCAGCAAGCATATCTAGATGCTGGGAATCCTGGTCAAAATCCTATTGTATAGTAAGGAAAACTGCATAACTTGCAGCAGTAAACTGCCACTAATTAACAAGTTCTCACTTCAATCCCTAGTCATAAGCCAAGACATCTGATTGATATATGATGAGAAATTCAAGCGGGGCCTCATTAATTAGCAGTAATTTGCTGCTTGGAGTTAGGTCGATTCTCTTCCACCAGCAACAGAATTTTGGTCATTATATAAAATGCAATTTATGAAGCAATAACAGGCAGTCTTCCTAAAGCTTCATGAGCTGAAGAGAAACCTTTTGCTAACAAGTTTTTGCTGACTTGCATTAAACAACTCCCTCCTTTCCATAATGGGAAACTGACTTTGGAAGATGTGAGTCCGGTATTCTATAATGTTACTCCTAAAGCTGAAACACTTACATATTCTGCTTTATTGTTCCCCACTTGTTTTGATGAATGCCACATATATAGGTTGTTTTAAAGAGGTTTTTACTTTAAGTGAAGGGCTCTTCTGCCTATGGCACATATCCAGCACATTACCTTTTCTCTTCCGGCAAGTTAGTAATGGATGGAAGGATCTAAAGAGCACCGTGCAAATATACTGCCTACAACTCCTGTTCCAGAAGGCTTTTAATTGAAATAACATCAACTGTGGGTCCTGATGGCAATTTTAATTGTATTTTAATCATTTTATCTTGTATTGTATTTTAATTGCATTTTAATTGTTGTACGCCGCCCAGAGACCTTTGGGTAGAGTGGGCAATATGTAAGTTAAATAAATAAATAAATAAACAAACAAACAAACAATGACTCGCAGATAGCTATGACAGGAAGGAAGACAAGAATACTTTCCTGCTTTCCTTTTCCAATGCAAAACAAAACTAGATGAAAAGAAAAGTAGAAAAGAAGAATCTCAGCTTTTCTCAAGAGGAATTTCATCACTTCCTCTGGAATATCTGGTGTGCTGCTCTTAAAGTTTAAGACCTTTGGTTGTCCCATTATAAGAGTTTGATCTCAAGTGTGGATGGACAACTGGTTACATCTCTGGATCAGAAGGGTTCTTTGGAGCAGATTTACCTGGTCCCTGGTAACTGTACCAAAAATTAAACTGAAAGAAAGTAGTGAACAGAAGAGAAATAAGAAGCTTCTGTAGATATTTCAAGAACTGTTCAAGATACACTTCTCTGCGTTCTTGTAGTTGCTGAAGACAAAACACCCCCCTTACCACGTTTATTGTTTGGGAACTTGGCACCCAAGACAGTCTTTAGAGCCTTCAGCTTGTTCAGCATCGGTGGCACACAAACATAATGATCTGCTTTTATTTCTCCGTTCAGGATCTGAAAAGGGAGGGGGGGAAATGACTGATTATGACTTATGTCTGTTATTACATATGTTGCACAAACATGCAGCAAACAAGCTCAAGAAATTATGGCTGAAACTCTCCTCCTTAATACGGATGCCCTTTAAAACAGCATACCTCTAGCTCTCCCCTTCTCCGATTCTCCTCATATACATCTGGTCAAATCACTATAGCAGGGTGGTCCACTTCCAACCCAAAGACTATCTTTCCCCCCATCCTACCCCCAGGACTCAAATGCTGAACTCCAGAACACCTCACAAATACTCCAACATTTGTTTTTATGTTAAACCGGAGGTCTCAATTCAGGAGGTCATTTTACCTGGATAAAGTAGGGTCCAATTCTGTGACTATTGAGGGGGGGGCTCACACTCATAAATTTTTAATTCCTTTTTTTAATTGACACTAGAACAGTGATCCCCAACCTTGGGCCTTGAGATGAGGCTCACACTCATAAATGTTTAATTCCTTTTTTTAATTGACACTAAATAGGATACAAGGGAGATATTTTCAGTAAAAGCATTTTTGGAAGAAAACATGCGTTGGGATTGTGGGTGAGGCCCTCCATGTTCAACAGATGGCCATGTACACCACCCTGTTCTCTGGAGGTTATTCATCCCAGGGTAGAGTGTTGGGCAACAACTCAGAAGATCTGGGGTCCAAGTTGCCATTTGTCCATGGAACCCTCTGGTGAACTTGGGCTAGTCACAGTCTCTCTGCTTGACCTATCTCAAAGGGTCACTGTGAGAACTGATACACTGGGGGGGAAAGCTGTGTACATCGCCCTGAACTGACTGGAGGAGAATCAGGATACAAACACAACTAATAGCAAATAAATAAGTTTTAGATGAACCTTTCCTTCCATCCCACTTCACTTCTATAAATGTCTTTCAGGGAAATCCACTTGACTAATGACAGATAAGTATAATGGCCAGTATCCAATACTGACATTACACTAGCAGGAGGAGTGGCAATCTTCCCCCTTTTTTTGGTGATCCTCCTTCTATCCAAAAACCTGCTCCAAAGGATTAGGAAACTTTCCAGTGGGCTTTTTTTAGTGCCAGAGAGGGCTTCAGGAAGGGCATGGCCAAACCACAACCTTGAACCTAAGGAGCACAACGATTTAGGCCAACACAAATAAAATAAGTATAATGTTCAAAAGTTAACCATTTTTTGTCAAGACTACAAATCATAAAATGCAGAATTAGCATTTTCTAAAGCTAAGAGTTGTTTGCAATGTGTGTCATACGCAAAAAAACCCTACAAGATTGGAGTCTATTTAATCAGATAAAAAGGATGCTTCCAGATGGGTTGCTTATGATGCAATTGTGTCCTGTTGTAAACTTCCCTCATCTACCATTGCTCTTTTCATAATCTTCCTTATGAAAGGAAATCCATTGATATAGACTCTAGACTCACAAAGAGAGTATGGCTTAATAAGAAGCTGACAGCATATACCAAGATCCAGGTCTATAGAGCCTGTGTTCCGAGTACACCCCTGTCCTGCAGTGAGTCCTGGACCCTTTGTGCACAGCAGGAGAGGAAGCTGAACACGTTCCATATGCATTGTCTCCGATGCATTTTTGATATCACCTGGCAGGACAAAGTTCCAAATAGAGTAGTCCTAGAACAAGCTAGAATTTTTAGCATGTATACATTACTGAAACAGCGACGTCTATGTTGGCTCGGGTATGTCGTGAGAATGACTGACAGTTCTCCTGTATGGAGAATTAGTGCAGGGAAAGCACGTCAGAGGGAGACCACCATTGCAATAGAAGGATATCTGCAAGCGGGATCTGAAGGCCTTAGGAATGGACCTCAACAGATGGGAAACCTTGACATCTGAGCATTCAGCCTGGAAGCAGGCATTGCATCATGGCCTCTCCCAATTTGAAGAGACCCTTGTCTAGCAGGCTGAGGCAAAGAGGCAGTCACGAAAGCAACAAAATCAGGGAGCTGGACAGGAGACAGATTGTATTTGTCTCCAGTGTGGAAGGGATTGTCACTCTTGAATTGACCTCAGGCACAATAGACGCTGTTCCAAGACCTCCATTCAGAGCAAATTACCATAGTCTCTTGAGACCGAAGGATGCCTACACTATTTATTTATTTATTTATTTGGTTTCTACCCCACCCCTCTAGATCATGTCTACTATTGAGCTAAAACTGAAACACACACACACACAGAGAGAGAGAGAGAGAGAGAGAGAGAGAGAGAGAGAGAGAGAGAGAGCCTAAATAAACAGTTGATCAGTACACAATGATTTATCGAGGTCACAATCTAATCCAGGCGCATCAAGAAAATTATGACACAGTTCGGTCAACAGCACAAAAAGAATCTAATACTGCTCAATAGCAGAAAGTCTTATTTGCTTTGTAGAACTGATCACAATGTTCATGCCTCTTCAGCAGCGAAGGCAAACATTTACTTTCGACATTCTCAGTTCTAGTACTTAAAAAGCAGAGTGAAATGTTTCACTGACACAACAGATAGATTGTAAAGAATATTATGATATTCTACCCTATCAGTCACAGATAGAGTTTGCTAAACCACAGAATCATTGAATAAGGCCATCAAGTCCAACTCCCTGCTCAAGGCAGGAATTCAAATCAAAGCAGATCTGACAGACAGTGGTCCAATTTTGAAAGCTAAGTACTAAATTTTGCCCTGAGTGAAGCTGATGGCAAGCTTCCCCCAGGACAAACTTCTGCATGTAGGTCAAATAATTTTCAAAAGAATTAACCCTGAGGAAATGGTGTTTTCTCCATGAAAGCTTTCAATTTGTATGATTTTATAGTCATCCAATAGAAGATATCACCCATCCTTACGTTTGTATGATTTTTCAAAAACGTATCTGTACTGAAGCATGACGGGGGGGGGAGGGTGCATGAACAAAACAGGCACAATCACTTTTTATATAAATAATCTCCAATTCTGCATTTGAGTTCCAGTTTAGCCACAGGCATCCTCAGCTCCAAAAAAAAGTTGACAAAACCACCCTGTTGAACTGTTCAGTCTATCCTCTGAAACCAAGAGATACAACTATTTGGTTGAAGAGACATATCCATTGGAAAATGTAAGGTAAAGCTTTTGAGGCACATACATCAATCTGAATCAGTTACGGAAAAGTTAAAAACAGATCCTCATTTCTCAGTTCCTTTTGGGGGTTTTTAGAACAGACTTCAAAATTCTGCTTGAAACCCTGATGTCTCCTTGCCTCCACTGTAAGAATCTGAATAAATTGCATACATTCAAAACTTTGGAAAACACAGGGAATTTGCTTACTTGCCCTGATTTCCAGCAACCTTAAGAAGAAGCCACCAAAAGAGCAGATAGGAACCAACGTTCCCTCTAATTTCTGCCAGCACTGTTCCGTGTTCCACACCCCCACGCATGGGTTTTCTGCCCACAACTGGAAGCAAATCAGCAAAAATATAGACCTGGCCCCATGGGATCGCTGAAATGCTACATGTGTGCGCGCACGCGCACAGCTTAGAGGGAATGTTGGTAGGAACAGATATACTCTACTAAAATACTCCTAAATATTCCAACCTAGTACAACCAAAATATATTGTGTGAAAACTTCCAAACACAAACTGTTCTTCGCTTCCCAAAAAGGTCTGTGTATCAAAGGAGGGTATCAATGGAGTGTATCTGAATAGCAAAGAAAGGAAGCAACATTTTGAAATAAAGCTCTGAAGGCTTTGACATTCTCCTGTCAGATTCTTGTGCTGCAGCAGCGGCTTCTGCATCATATATGAGATAAGCTGGAAGGGACTGCACATTTCTGCCCCACAGTAGGGACTGTGTGTTTACGGCAAGAGCATCAAAAGGCAATCCGGTTTTGGCAAGAGAGTCCAGCTTTTTCAGAGTCTCAGATATATATTTGAAGGGAAATTAAAGCCTCATTCTACGTAATCCTTTTGGATACAGCAATATACTGAAAAGCATGTGGGCAAGGCTTATAAAGTCTCAGTCACAAAAAAAGGAGGTGAATAAAATTTCCAGTGCTGAGAGGCCAGATTTCAATGCTTTGTATAGTTCTCTTCCCTTCCTTCAGTAAAACAAGCAACCGAACAAAAATCCCATGAAAATTGGTTGAGCTACACAATATATACAGGTCGTAAAAGCCAGCTTGTGCTATGACAAACCGTAGATTATTCTGTTGCTGGGAACGGATGTTTGTGTTTTCTAGAACAGAGTCGTTGAACCCTTTACAAAGGAAATATCTTTTCTACAGCACCAGTGGATTAAGCTATTCCCTCAGAATAATGTATAAAGAACTCATGGCTCAAGTTAGAACTGATTTCAAGTCATTTTTCCCTTAAAACAAAAATCCTGTTGGAGCGTTTAATTTGTATATGCATATATTACCGGGCTAATTAATTCAGTTGCTCCTACAAATGCAGCACCATGTTCTCTAGCGAGAGCAGCGTCTTCTGCTTTCTGAAAGAAAATAATAGTTAAGGGCAGGATCAGACCAAGAGCATATTTAGTGACCTGTGGGAGTCCCATGAGCAAAACAGCATAATTCTATTTAAATTCTCCAGCAACTGATATATACTGATATACTGCCTACTGGTGGGAATAGATATTTATAATGAGTGGTAGGTATTAATAGCTTTACCTTCTATGTATGTGTATAATTCCCTTTCAAACCCAGCATGTTCAGCTTGAAGAAGCTGGAAATGCTGACCATCAAGATTATTCTTTAATTTAATTAAATGTAAAGCTTCAAATCCCCAAGCACCCACTTTTCGGGTTCCAAAGATCCTTAGGTATCCCTTTGGATGTGAAGAAGTTACTAGTATTGGAAAATTGATGCTGGATTGCTAGCGGATGTCCTGATCCCAGTAGCAATGTTCCGGTGGTGATATTCTGATATCAAAGGATTCCTCAGGTCAAAAGGGATCAAATCAAAAGGTAACATCAAAGGTTGATGGTATCATTGCCATTTACACTCACACAGTTCTTCAACAGGATTTCAGCCCATCTATCCTATGTTCAAGAGCACTCCAAATTCTTTAAATACAGTGGTGCCCCGCATAGCGACGATAATCCATGTAGCAAAAATCGTCGCTATACAGATTCAGCGCTATGCGAAATAAAAAAGCCCATAGGAATGCATTAAAACCTGTTTAATGCGTTCCTATGGGCAAAAAACTCACCTTAATGCGAAAATTCTCCATACAGCCGTCATTTTTGCTGCCCGGTAAGCGAGGAATGGGCGCAAAAACACAGTGGGCGGCCTTTTTTTTTACCCGGCAGTCATTTTGGAACCGCCAATCAGCTGTTGGGAAAACATCGTTATGCAAAAATCGGTAAGCGAAACAGCTTACCGATAATCGCAAAGCGATATTTTCCCATTAGAAACATCGTTATGCGATTGCAAAAAAAATAGTCACTATGTGGATTCGTCGTTAAATGAGGCACCCGTTAAGCCAGGCACCACTGTATAAGGGAAGGTTTTCACCAATTCTTAACAGTGAGAAAGGCAGTGTGACTACATGTCAGGCTACTAGTGATCAATACCACACACCAGTTGTATGAAAAGAATGAAGAGACAGGCTCTCTTGAGACGTTATTTATCTTCTTTGCAATCTTGAGGCCTTCTTACTTAAAAAAGCTAAAAGTGTACCTTCACATTTTCAAAATAGTGTTTTTAAAATAACGTATCAACATAGTTTTGTTTTTTGTTTTGTTTTTTGCTTTCTTCTTTATATTTAGGACACACATTCCTAAATTAATGGCTACAGTTGTATTCGCTTAAGATATTTATGGGACTAGAACAGGTACTGTAATACCTCTGCTGAGTGTGTTACCTTTTATTATTGATATTTCTGTAGTTGAACGCGTTAATTGAAAAATAAAGATACATTTCTCTTGGGAAAAATGTTTCAAGTCTGCCTTGTGGGGGGTTCAGACAAAGTTCTTGCTAATATGACTTTATCTGAAAGAATCCCATCAACTTACAGGTGCTGGCTGAGTGATAAACCACTGCCCTAAATAAATCTAGAATGTTAAGTTATCTGGGTCTGCAGTCCTAGCATTCAGGAGAAAAAAGCAGAAAGCAGTAAATAGATGACTAGGGCCGGGCTTTCATAAACCACAGAAGACAGCAAGACGTCCAACTGCCAAAGGACAAACATCTACAAAAACATCTGGAATTCTCTTCAAGAACATTCACACGGTGCCAACTCACTCCTGTTAAAATCTCAATTCAAAAACCATCTCTCACAGAAAAGGTTCCAACTTGACTCCATCTTCATCCAACAGCCAAAACAAGGGCTAACGGTAATCTGCTCTCTTTGCCGCTCCCTATTATTCCCGTCTTACAGTTTTCCACATCCCCAATGGTAAGCTCTGGAGGTCAGAAGCCTGTTGTTTGTTATTCTCTGAAGTGCCATCCATATTGATGACCATATATAAACAATGAATTTATAAGCCACTTTACTTGGAACTGGCACACCACTTGGCATAGTTATTAAGCAAAGTACATTACACTCCCTGGTGACAGAAACCAAACCATCATCTCTAATCACAAATTACTCTCTCAGACTGCAGGGATTTTGGCACACTGCACTGTAACTCACCTCTGCAAACACCACAACCTTGTGGATAGAATCTGTGAGACGATAAGGGAAAAGAACTGCACCAAGAAAGGGTTCCAACGTTTTCTGAAAGGGGCAGAAGGAAAAAACAAAAACAAAAAACAGACACACAAAAATATTCATGTTATTTGGTTCAGTGACATTTGGATACATAAATGTATTCCCTGTATTTCTTCTCTGCTTCTCAGAAACAGACTCTTAACTTCAGAAACTCACCCCAGAAAATGTACAACTGGCCTCACAAACTGCAATGTTCAAAAAGAATGAGTAAAAACCTGTTAGCGTAGTCAGGCTGATGTAAACTAGATCAGGCACTGCAAATAAAGCGAAGCAAAAAAAAAGCAAGCATGCTGCTTACATACCACCCCATAGTGCTTAAAGCACTCTCTGGGCGGTTTACAGCTTAATTAGGCAGGCTATACATTGCCCCCCACCCCGAGTGAGATGGGTACTCATTTTACCAATCTCAGAAAGATAGAAGGCTGAGTCAACCCTGAGCTGGACACCTGGGATTGAACCCCGGAGTCGTGAGCACAGTTTTGGCTGCAGTACAGCATTTTAACCACTCTGCCACAAGGCTCCTACATAAAATTAATTCCAATTAATTAAAAGCTTCCTATCTCCCTAAGGCTCCTTTTTGCCCCGGGGAAGCATTTGGGAGCCTCAAGACAGGGATAAATAGTAAAATAAATAAATAAATAAATAAATAAATAAATAAATAAATAAATAAATAAATAAATAAATAAATAAATAAATAATACATACATACATACATAC